AAGAGTTGTTCCAGGAATATAGATATGAAATCTGGCCCCGTCCTTTCTTCTTCTTTTTTAGAAAGTGGGGATAACTTCATTAAAATAAGCATCCAGAGCGTGCAGAGAAAGAGTGGTACATTTCATATTTATGCTAAAATGCTAAAAGTGATAAACATGTGTTTCAAATTTCAAATGTTTTCATTTTTACCTTCTAAGTATCTCTGGTCTCTTCCCTCCCAAAATGTCCACCATATTACTTCTGGTATACTGTTTCACAACTTTTTGGCTTCTTTTTGTAGTTAGCTTCTACTCCAACCAAGTATTAGGTCTTTAGGTGATTTATGGCATGCACCATTTAACTTATTGTAGATTCAAAAGTGCCAAATTTGGTTCGTGATTTTGTAGTGGATGATCAATATTACCAATCACCTGTGTGTTCCAGTGGATCAGTTTTCATTTCAACATTTCATCTTATTAGTGATTGTTTAATGTACTAGCAAATTTCTTCCCGTTTCATTGAAAATAGAAATCTGTCTATTCTTGATATTGTATTTGACTGTCCTCTTGTCCATTTAAATTTTTCCCAATGAAAGACTCCCTAAGAGCAAATCAGCTGCGAATACTAGGTGCAGCTTTGGGGATATGTATAAACATGGGCGGATCTACGTAGGGGCTTGGGGGTGGTACGCCATCTGGCCGCTCAAGTAAAATCGTATAAATGTACTAGTATTTTCCTCAACTTATTGAACATATATAAAGAGTGGCATCCCAAGTAACAAAATGACTGTAGGTGCCATGGTTAAAGCCTTGAAACTCCACCTAAAATACTCAGGATCGAGACTCTGTTAAAGTCCTTGCTGTTATGTTATTTCTTTTTGCTCCTCCTTTTAATTTCTTCAGCTCTGTTATTTACTCTATTTTGTACAATCTCCTTTTTATTATTTATTTAAATTGTATATTTGCTTCCTTTTTCTTTTTCTAGATCTTCATTTTATTTGAATTTGATTTTAATCATTTCCTCTTTTTATGCATCTAATGTTATTTTATTAATTTTAGAAACTAGAGTGATGCATCAAAGACATAATATTATTCGAGGTATACGTAGATTGAAGTGATGTATTTCATAATTTAAAATTTTATTTTTCTTTATATTTTTTAATCATATTAATCGAATTTGAACCTAGAGAATTAGACCGAATTTGATAGAACTTATTCGATTTTGTGATCACATATTCATTTATGCATAAATCAATCTTTTAAATTGAATTGAATTAATTCAAAATGGACAGAACCGAACCGAATTAATCAAAAATGGATCGAATCGATTAAATGTACACCCAAGTTCAATCTCTTCACTATGGCCAGTTTGCATTAAAAATAGTGGCACCAGGGACATTCACCGATTTTTTATAAGCGGTGTCAAAATTTATAAAAGAACGGGAATAATAACTTTAATTATCATACTTCTAGACAAGAAATAACTTTAGTCTATTGGTTTTGTTAAGTCTTAAGTTAGAAAAGTCCTGAATTAAATTTTACTTTATCACAATTTTTAATCGCATAGATTCTCTCAAATATTTGCAAAAAGAAAAAAAGAGGTGCTAGTTGAGGTTTGAACCTTTGACCTCTTAGAGCAAAATCAAGCACATAACCAATATACCAAGAGACAAATTTTGTTCACTTTTCCTAAGTATCTGCTTCCTCGCAGTATTAATACATATATTTAGCAAAAGAATTCACGAAGCGGTGTCGCCTGATACTGCTTCGAAGTGGCACCCGTAACCATCAAATCCTGAATCCGCCTATGTGTATAAACTCATGACTCTTATAAAGGCTGATGATGCCAAGAAAAACGCTTTAAAGGGCTCAAGTTTTGAGCATTATCTTGACATCTCTGAACGTAAGATTGCTGTGTCGCTTTTGGTGGCGATGATTGAGAATTTTGATGTCGATAGAAAAACTTTTAAAATTGGAAATTCATGCATCTCATTTTGTATGAAGGAGGTGCAATATTGCCTTGGTTTCGACTGTGTGGGTGAAGATGTTAAAGTTAGCGAAATTGAAAAAGGTCCCTCACCTTTGTTTCTGAACAAGTATTTTCCTGGATTGAAGTTAACAAGTATGGATAGGAAAAAAGCCCTTGAGTTGGTTGAAAATTTCCCTACAGAAATAGAGGGTTGGAAGGATGATTTTTTGAAACTATGTATATGCTACATGTTCTCTGCTTTTTTCTTTACCGGTTGCAATGTATTTATGTCATTTTGGCCGTAGTTTGGTATGTTGTGACTAGTTTGGTATGCAATTTCGAATATCATTTCTCTGCTCTTAGTTCTCCTGAACTCATCTTAGGCTACCTATTTTTGCGCATGAGACACTTATCTAAACCAGGATCCTGTGAGTAGCTCTACAACATTGTGCATTTCCAAAGTTGTCCTTTTACTTGCTACTCTTGATGTTTAGTTTCTTTAAACAATGGAATGCTTTAAATTGTTGGAAAGCCGATCTTTTAATATGTCTAGATTTGAATGGGTATTTTGGAACCAATCATTTAACCTTATAGTTGAGGGTTCGGTAGTATATAAAACTCACATGGCGGATTTTTATTTAATTTTTACCTCTCCTGAATGTGTAAAATGATTTATAAGTCAATAGAAAATATAGAGCTTCTAGTAATTTTTTTTTTTACAATATTGGTTTGAGATGATTTTAGTGCAGAGAAAGAAGTGATGGTGCAACAAATTGGAGAGCTTTTGAGAGACTAGAAAATGATTATTTCACATTTGCGGAATAGTGTCTTATTCTTAGTTAGATTTGGTCCACCCATGAAGTTCCTGTCTGTATAATAGATTGGGTGACAACTGTAGAGAACCATATTAATGTGTAGGTTCTCTCTTTTTGTTATACGGCTTGTATACGGGAGCTTTTCCCATATTAATATAATTATTTACCTTCTCAAAAAATAATTTGATGCAACATGAGCTTAAACGGAGCAACTTGATCGGTGAAGATTCATATAGTTGAACTCTAACTTGCTTGGAATTGATGCCTAGTTGTTGTAAAAAGATGGGATAAGCTTGTTAACATTGTGCATTTCCAAAGTTGTCCCTTTTACTGGTTACTCGCGATTTTGTTGACAATTCCTTTAAGATTTTGTTGGTCTAATTCAGTCAATCTCTTTCCCTTCATGTCTTGCTCCATTTTTTTTATTAGTCTCATCCTCTATTTTCTGTGATGATTATTGTTCTGCTACCTTTATGTCATGGAATCGAGCTATCAAATCCTCAGGCATACGCATATCAACTTGGCAATGGAACTCAAAGCACCTATTTTCTCGAGAATGGAGCATTGTCTAAGATCAAGAGAACATGAATCTTGCCCTTTCAGTCTATCTAGCCTTGGTACTGAAAATGTAACTTCTTTTCTTGATTGTGTTTTCGATAGAAGACAATCTCCATATATGGCTTTAATCTCCTGTTACATTCCAAGTTGCTTTATCTGTCTCAACAACAACAACAACAACAACAACAACAACAACCCAATATAATATCACTAGTGGGATCTGGGAAGGGTAGTGTGTACGCAAGACCTTACCCTACCCTGGGGTAGAGAGGCTGTTTCCGATAGACCCTCCCCACCTTGCTTTATCTGTCTCAATTAAGTAATATTCCTTTATCTTCTGTTAACCAGCGCAGAATCTGTGGATGCTGTGTGGTGGTTCTTTTTTCCGGGGAGAGGGTTGAGGGCGGGGCAGGGTGGCTCCACCCATAACTTCTTGAGGGTTTTCTTTTGAGTAGGTAGTACATTTGTTTCATGTTGTCGTTGGTGTTTTGGTTTTTGTTTTCCTTTAAAAAACTTTATGGTCCTTTGGCTTACATTACATTATTATCCTTTGCTGTCCATTGAAAATTGGTATGAACACCAAGTTGAAGCCTTCCCAACTTCTGGTATATTTCCTTACAAATAATCCTAATGAGTTAATCAATCGACTCTAAAGACCTTTTTTTGGTGCTTGCAAATGTGTGTTGCTACATGTTCTGCTTTCTGCAGAAACTTTCACATAGCATTTCCTTTGACTTCTAACTCCAGGCGTGTTCAGCTAGTTGTAGGAAATCTGGTTGGTCCGGCCCAAAGTTCAAGAATTTAAACTACTTGGTTGCTCATTCTCAGTTGTCAAGCTAGTTAGTAATTGATTGTGGCCTGAACCTGTCCTTGCCATATTTCTGACAGTAGTTGCTTGAAAGTATGCTTGCAAAATTTGTGGTTGATAGTCATTTGAAGTCAAAACTGCTCCAAAAACCAAATATTTTGAAGTCTCCCAGCTTTGCATGACAAAATTCATCTGAGTCAATTGTAGTATCAGTATTCTAAACGTAGCAAGTCTTTGTGATATAGGTTTACTTAAGTAGTGCAAAAAATACATTGAAATAGATATAGGCTTTGCTTAACTAGAAGTGCTAGAGAGCTCTCTCCTAACAGACCTCGTAGATTTGTCGCTTAGGCTATGCCATCATAAATTCAATTAATTTCGTACAATTAAAAACAGAAATAAGAATAACTCCAGATGATTTTGCAAAATGTAAAAGTAGAGAAGTTTTCAAAGAGTGGAGAAAAAGTATTTTCTTTTATTTTTTACTTTTTACTTTTTACTTTTATCTTATTTTTTCATCATTGTTTATGTAGGTATACAATGTCAAGAAAAATGGTGGCATGAAAAGATTAATTACATGCATCCAATTATTAGAAAATAAAATAAAATAAATAAGCAGCATATACCGTCAAGCTGTAACGTCTATGTTAATCAAAATGTAAAAGATACCCGAACAAAAAAAGAAAGATAGTTTTATTTGAACTTTTGATGATTAAGAAATGAATAAATACCGTCAAGCTTTATACGTCCACGATTTTCTTTATCAAATGAAGGTGAATAAGCCACGATGAGATCATCTTTTGAAGACGATCCCACAATGAATTTACGCATAAAGGCTAAAGCTACAAAGTACTTTCTGAAGGGAGGAAAACTTTAGATGTATTGGCTGATTACAGAGTAGATACGACTGTATGAACAATGAGAAAAAGAACAAATTTGATATACTAAAGCCTATTGAATATTTCACTTTGATTTGCTACGAACTTTCATAAGATTTCAGTGGTTCCATGTCATTTGTACTGAAGCATCTATTTAAAAAATGGTGCAATATTGATAGCAATTTACAAGCAATATAATATTTCATGACACCTCTTGCAAGGAAGAACTTGTTGTCTCCACAGACAAGCTAGCAACATCATTGTCCAACTCCTCATTGAAATGCTCCCTCAAAAACTCAACCGCCATGAATGTAAGAGCAGAAGCTGGAATGTACCAAGTTATTCGAGGAATGCTACCTCTAAACATCCCCCTAACGCCTTCAGTCATCCAAATCTTCTGAACAGCGTCCAGCCAGCCGCTATACCTGGCAACACATTAACAATGCAGAACTTGAATATATGAAAAAATCATGGATGATATCATATCTTTCAACATAGCACGAGCTATTACAAAGCAACAAAAATAATTAACAAAAAATTCAGCCTCCAGTTTATAAGTAAAGCTGTTCACAGTAAGAGAATATATAATTTTCCTAATTCAGGATTAGTGGTGGCAAAATGGATAACAAAAACAGTTATTCATCCATATTATCTACACTAAAAATGGGTTGGATGATGAACTTTTTAAAAATGGGTCAAATATGGATAACCAATGAATTTAACTTTTACATTTGCGAAGACTCAAATTGGGAGCTACTCAAGTGTGGGAGACTAGGATTTCTCCCAAAAAGTAATCATATTCAAGAAGCCATGGATTATATGGATAACCATATTATCCGTCGGTTAATCCGTTTTCTATCGGTATTAAATATGGGTCGGGTCGGATAATGTATACGTTTTTGCATTACCCATTGTCGACCCGTTCATATCCGACCCCACCCGTCCGTTTGACACCCCTAGTCAGGATGGTGTCTGAATAACCAAAAAGGCTTTTTCTTATTTTGTAAGGGATGTAACTCAGGAGTTTTACAAGTAGTGGAGACCTAAGTCTTACATTAAATGTTGTTTTTTGCCCAAAGATTTTAATGAAAGGGTTAACAATGCAACAAAAAAGATATATAGACATATGAGCACCTTAGTGTTGTTCCTTGCACTTGTAATCTTGTTTTGATAACATCCAATGGAGTGGTGATATATGCACTTAAACCTATGAGAGATGGAAAAGTCATTGCATATTCAAATACAACTATCGGTATAATACTTTAACAAGGAGAGAGTAGTACATACCCCCGGCTAGTCCTCCCAAAAGGAGGCCCTCAATAGAACCATTTGAGTGATAACTAAAGTTGTTAAACCACTTCTGCTTCCCATACTCAGTCATGCTTTTCGAAGCCTCATAGAAAGTAACCTATGAATTTGAATATTTACCAACGCTACAAATAAATTAATATAACAGAAACATAAATAAAAACATAGTTACATTAGATCTGAATTGAAAAGTGTGTCATCAAAACATTACAGATCAACAGCAAATCTTGGAATTTTGAAGGAAACAGTATTAGGGGAATGATGGTCTACACAAGTAGAAGAAATTCATGATTCTTATCAAGTTACAATGTTAAAACCAAACCATGGAAATTGTCTCTACAGTGAAAAATACGTGGAACATTCAAGTCAGAACTCGTCGACACAATCATACTCGGAGCATAGTTCCTAATGGACTGGACATTGGACCATCTCCATTTAGCAAAAGAGCAGGGAAGTGAATTGCATGTTCAGGAACTACAGTGACAAAGTTGCAGTGTTATTTTTACTTCTTCTCTTTTCTTTTCTTTTCTTTTCTTTTCTTTTATTTTCTTTTCTATATAACCAATTCACCGAACCATCTCTCTCCGCAATCTCCAAATTCAGGTGTATTCATTAAATAAAAATAAAGGGCAAAAAGAAAAAAAACAAGCATCAGGCAAGTCTTGTACTTTGCATAAACTTCCAATGCAACTACTATAGACTGGAAAGAATTGAAAGATACAGAGACTACTATGGGGCTTGTAATTGCTTCTTGATATTCAATCTAGTTAAAAGGACTAAAAGAGCTCATTTCAGTCTAGTTAATAGAGCTCTGTCTCAAATAAATTTCTACTCAAGTTGTTTATTTGCTGATGCAATCGTAAATGAGAAGTGATACCTATATGCAGAAATTTCAAGTAGGGGTGCGAGTTAGACCAGTTTGATTACGAGCTAAAGAAGCTCAGTTTGGTTGAAGCTTCACCTTGCTCATCCCCGGAAAAGCTCAAGCTACCCCAAACAGTACTTTCAAGCCTAAAAAAATCTCGATCAACACGCTGGTAAGCCTTCCGCTGCTTAGCAGGCTAAATTGTTCTATTCTTTAAGTTGATTTATGCATATATGTATCTCTGCTCTATAGGACTTCCAAAATCATAGGTCTCGCTGTTGTTTCCATCCCTTCCATCTCTCACCCTCTGTCCGCCAGCTGTTCCTTACTCCAGATCTCCGTCTTTCCTTACTTTTCCTATATTCTACTATTACTCCTCCCGACCTATGAATTTTGAAGCCCTACCACCTTTAAGCATAGAGCCAGGGGCGGATGTAGCATATACTCCGCGGGTTCAACTGAACCCATAACTTTCGACGCGGAGTAAAAATTTATATGTAAAAAATCATTAAAATTACAAAAATAGTAGAGATAAACCCATAACTTTAAAAATATAATAGGTTCAATGCTAAAAATTTTAAAAGTTGAACCCATAGAGTTTAAATCCTGGATCCGCTTCTGCATAGAGCCATCCATTTCAGAATGCTTCCTTATAGCAGAACATTAAGATCACATGTATTTGGATTACATATGCGACAATCTGATTTAAAAGATTCATAATGATTAAAAGCAGAGAAGATTCTTCTGTAAAGCAGAGATTTCATAATGATTCAGTCAGTTTTTAATAAAGTACTAATTACAGTCAGCTTAAATTGGAACAAAATAGTGTGTCCAACATTTTATAGCTTGAACATTCTTTAAATCAACTGTCACTTGAACCATATAGATAGAGTTTGTTTGTTATCAAAATAAAGTTTCTTCTCTGTCAGTTTTAATTAAGAAAAAAGATCTACAGGTTTCCCTGGTTTATCTTTTTGCTGGATTGAAACTTTTTTCTTAATATGAAAAGGTAAGAATTTTATTAAACAATACCAAGAAGGTACTGAAAATAGAGCATCCTTCTATAGGATTGAATTTGCACTTGGATTGAATTTGGACTTGGTTGGCTAAATCAAGCTTCAAGTATTTAAGTTTACTGTTTGAGCCAACTGCCAAGCTCGAGATTGTTTGATCATACAGCTTCAACTTCAAGAAGTCATTTCAGAAGCTCTCAGTAGCCTAATAAAGCACAAGACCGTGAGTATTGAACCAAGTTGAATCCAGACAAAGAAGGGCTAAGCTTCCACATAGTATACCAAACTGACACCATTATATCCTTGATTGGAACACAACATCTGACATATGTTTTTCAATACATACGAGAAGTCACAAGCCACTAGATACCCTAGGTTACTCTATGGTCCTGCTCATCAGCACACTCATTTTCATTGCTTCTCTTCTTCTCCATAACTCATCACCCAACCCATATAACCTTACTATGTGAAACATTTTAAATTCAAAAGTTCTCTATAAATTTACAGCCACAAGAAGATGCAGTTAAATGTCTGACATCAACAAGTACTAGTAAATAAAATAAATTGGAGAGTTAGACTAAGCACACAATCCATCTTCAAACAAAAGGAAAGAAAGAAAATGAGATTTGAGTCATGATCGATATACCATCAAACCAGCAAAGGGCACGTCTCTGACAAGTGTAGAGAAGTATCTGCAAATGAAATGGCAAAGGAAGTTTAGCAACCAAAACAGCTAAGTTTTGATTGAGGAGTCTGGATTATACATCAGAAGAAACATTAGAAACAAATGTCAACGTCAAACAGATTAACATAATTAAATGAATAGCCTCAACCTAGCAGAGATGGTATTCAGTGCACAATGCACATAGACTCCTAATTGCCCACCTAATCTTTTCCTGTTCATAATTAAAAACTAATGTGCTTGGGACAGCAACTTCATGTGAAGCACAGAGTACTGCTAACGTATACACAGACATGTGATCATGAACAAATTGCTTTTCTACTTGATACAGAGAATTTATGCAGCCAACTATCCAACAAAGAATGACATGAAAAGCTGTACCCTGCATATAAACCCTTTGGACCTTGTTCTTTCCATATAGAGCAGCCAGCCTGAAACATTCCTGAATAATAACCATACATGTTTGGGCCCTGTGTAACACAGCTTCCATCCTTCAAGGCAACAGAAGCCCAATACTTACTGGTGCCTTGAACCTGCATGCGCTGCTTTATCACTTCACATGGAACATACACGAAAGACCCAAGTGTATCTCCTGAAATGCAGATTGAACAACTAATAATTCAGAATTCTAAAATTGCAGAATAATATATCCAGTGAAGCTAATGAGTATGAATCAGGAGAAGGAACGATAAGGTTACCAATAGCACCGGCAATGAAATGTGCCCAATGGCCACTGAGGCTCGGGTGTGATTTTTCTACCCATTTCTTGGTTGACTCTATAACGCCAAAATATGTAGCACCCGTGGCAAGAGAACCAGTGACCCCTGGCGTTACTCCTCTGTAAAATCCTAGCAGCAAAAGTGGCAGTGTTTTATTTAAAATCACATACAAATCGGTTCAAGATAAGCGCCAAGACAAATGAAATACCAGTTAATCCATTGGTAACCCAAACAGTTCGTATCATTTGCAGTATGCTTTTCTGGTTCTGAAAATAACACAAGGAAATTATTATACAACATAATTAAAACATTCATGCAAATCAAAATTTGATGTGGATGCAGAGTCGCAGCAGCAGGTGCAGAGGTGTTCGATCGACTTGCTTATATTGTTGAACAATTTTAAAGACATATATTTGTGCCAAGTTTGGCGTACCCTCTATATTTGACTCCACCAATATTTACATAGTTGAATAGAGTAATTTAAAAGAAAAACATACTAAGTTTAAGATCAATTACCACAGATGAATAACAGGTGCAATGGTACTTTGCACCAACTAACTCAAAATACTGAATCCGCCTTTTTCTCTAGTTATACAATATCAGAAGCACATATGGACGATCACAAAAGCACAGAGAACATGTAATATACTATAAAATGAAAAATCGGTTCCAAAAAAAACTTGGCCGTTATAGTGAAATGTTGTTTTAAAATTTAAAGTATAGTTGTTATAGAGAAGTTTGAGTGTATAACTACCTGGCATCCACTAAAAATGGCTTGGCTCTGTATCCGGGTCTTCACAGTATCAATCGGGTGCATCATTCCTTCCCCAAAAGCTCCGGCAATAGCTCCCCATACGAACTCTCTCCACACTAGATACAACAATTAAACACTTCAGTTTGAACTAATCGAGCCCAAAAGTTTCCCTTATTCAACCACAAAATTAAACTTTAAACGAAAATATTTGTCTCAATCAATCAATCAATCAATTAATTACGCTTATGTAATACTATATTAGTACTGCTAACTACAATTTTATTACAATATATTTGCGTGTTAGTGTGTGTTCGACTTTGCATTATAGTTTATTGATTGATCACAGAGTCAGAAAATGCAATGGGGAGTTGCAATGAGAAATAGTATAAGTAGTTTACCAAAGAAATGATGGTCATTTGAGTAGTTCATATACGCTAGTGAAGCTTTTGATGGCTCGTCAGAAGGTGACTTGGTGGCTGCCATGGCGATTTCTGAAACTGAGCTTAGGGTTTTTGAGTTTTGGATTTTCGAGGTTTATGTAAGTTACTTTTCGTGCAAGTCAGATGAGCGCGCAGCTCTCTCCCAGACGACGGAATGACTATTGTGCTCGAGACTTTTTTTGTTTTTTTTTGGTGGAAACAATTTGACTACCAAACTTAACCGTTTGTATGAGTTGTTACCTGTTTTATTGTACCGTACGGTTACTTTAAATATAATTGTAACTTAAATTTTATTATATCGTATTGTTAAACGTTGTTATATAGCGACGAAAAGAACTGTTTACGCGTAAAACAATACAGTTGAATTTATACGTGGTTTTCTAGACAAGTGAATTAATTTGATCTTGAAATAATAGATGAATTATATGGATACGCAATACTTAGCCTTGAGATGGAGACGTAATAGCAGAAATAACAGTTTCGGGAGCAGGGCTTCCGGGCATAACAACAATAAAATCAGAAAGCAAGAAGATAAAGTTATATTAAGCTTTGAATAGAGTGTAGCGTATGTTTGCCAGAGAATTCGCGTCCTCTACAATGATAATAGAGCTCACTATTTATAGCTGCACCTAGAGTACATGGTCTTAGGATCAAGCCATTCTTTAATGTCAATTATGAGGGCCATTGAACAATGTATAACGGCGGGCATGAATGCCATATTCTTTGGACAGTGTACTAAATGCTGTAGAATATTTTTTATTAAATGCTACCGGGTGACAGACATTTATTTCATCTTTATGAATATCATTTTTTCCGGTAACAGACAGAATAGTTGACTTCGATTTCAGCTATCATATGCCTTCGACTCCACGTGTCACTTCCTTATGCGATCATTTAATATAACATATTTTACCCTACACAGATAGTCCCCCTGCTTTCCGGTGGCATAACTTTGTATCACTGGAAAGTTGGTAGAAACATTCTTTTCGGCGGAAAATTAACTGGCTCCTCTGAAAAGTTTCTGACGGTTGATTAGGCGCACGTCTCTCCTCATTTAATGCCCCGAAAATGCGTCATCCCACGATTCAACATAACTTTTGCCGGCTATCGAGGTAATTATGGCCACGAGTTTAGCTGCATAAACCTTTACTTATACGCATCAACCTTCTTCATTCTCACTTCATAATTCTTCAAACTCTCGCAAACTCTCTTAATTCAACTCGTACTATGTTCTTCAACCTTTCTTTAATTTTCTTCATAAGAGAAAAGCTTTTCTTTCTTCTCTAACATAGAATGTCTTCTTCTTCTATAAACCTTAGTTCCTCAAAGAACAAAGGCAAAGCCGATGAGGCTGCTCCTCCTACAGTGAGTACCATCATCCCCAAAAGTCTCATCACAACTAAAGACTTCGAAGAGAAATTTCCTTCCGCTAACCCTCGTACATGGGTCGTTGGCAGATACCCTTCTTCCATCCGTCCTTCCAGTATTCCTGTTGTGAAGGAAGATTGCAGTTGCCAGGATTTTGACATTATCGCTCCTGATCTAGCGGAGCGGGTAACCTTACCCAAGAAGGGTTTTACGTATTTTTATACGTATCCCTTCATTTTGGGGGCGTTTTCTCTTAGTGGAGAGCTTGACTCTGTCATTGTGAAGTTTTGCCGCCGCTACCGGGTGTGTTTGGTACAAGTGAGTCCTTTTGTGTGGAGGACGATTGCTTATCTTCAGCGCCTGTGCCAATAAACGGGAGAGGAGCTATCCCTAGCTCACGTGAAGAACCTTTATTCCCTTAAGATCTTCCGTGGGGGAATGATAAATTTCAGCAAACGTGGCCACCATGCTATACTATCTAGCATGGATGATGACAACGACCGTGGGTGGATGGAACAGTTCATTGAAATTTTCATCAATGATATCATTCCGGCAATGGCTTTATCCTTTTTGGAATCATAGAACTGCCACTCGTAAGTTCTTTGTTTAATCTTTCTTTCATTAGAGATCATCTCATATCATTATTGACCCTCCTTTTTTCGCCTGTTTCAACAACTCGATGGGTACTACCTAGGATTGAAGTCTTGGACCAGTGGGTCCAGAAAATCTTGGACGTCACTACGCCCAAAACTCGCACGTGGAAAGAACTGGCCCTTAAATACGGGTGGAAGGCCAAAAATCATGGTAACTTAGACTTGTCTCGTCTTTGCTCTTTGTGTGAGAAAATTAATTAATCATTTCTCTCTTTACCGAATTCAGGTCTACCCTAGGGCTCGGTTGTCTTCCCCGAGAAGGTCGATCCTACTGATGCGGCGAGGCTGCTTCAGGAAGCATTTACTCGAACAGGCGTCTCCGGGCTTGCTTCGGGTGCGAGTGCTTCTTCTTGGTGTCCCCGGCCAGAAAACAAGCAACCAAAAGGAAGGTGTTCCTCCGCGGCCGGAGGAAAGAATAAAAGGGCGAAGAACGTCGCCCTAAGTCATCTCCGGAAGTCTTGGTGACGAGCCCTCCGCCCAGGCCGACCATAGATACTGTGATGATTGACGATGATGGGGAAGCTAGCAAGGAGGGTGTTTCTCTACACAGAAGACGACGACCTTCCTCAGCTCAACAGACTGCTCAATCTGTTGAGTTAGTTACACCAACCAAGGACGATGCCTCAGCACTCTGAAGGAGTTTGAGATGGTGGAAAATGCCAACTTCCGCTTTAGGATCCCATTCGATGAGCCCGGTATTGTGGGGCTGAGTGTCGAGTCCCTACCATCTTCGAATGACGAGCAATCAACACCTAGCACTACGCTTGGCGCATCCACTTCTCATCCTTCAACGCCATCAGCTTCATCCTCTTCTTCACCGACTCTTCCACCAGCAACTGCTACATCATCTCCACCGGCCGCATCCATCCGAGAAAAGGATGTTCCTCTCCCCCAGTCCCCAGTTCATGGGAATTTGGGATAAAATTACACCGCCCCCTCAAAAGATCTGCAAAGGAGGAGGAATGTTACTCTCTCTGTTTTTATCGGTAGCGATCTGCTGTCCCGACCGGTGGAACTATCTAACTATCTGAAGCCTTTGGCTTCAGAAAAATATTGGGAAAAGATACAGGCTCTCTCGGGAGAATGCTTGTTGAATAATGTTATACACAATGCCGCAACGGTATACTCTTCATTTCCTTTGTCATTTCTTCTATCTTTGATTTAGTAGTATTTTGAGTTTGCCTTTCTTGTTTCACAGGCCAATTTCCTTGCTTCCGAGGGCCTACAAAGGTTGATTCGGGAAAAGGATGAACATAACCTCCGAGCGGGATCAACTTTTGGCCAAGCGGCACCAGACTGCCGCTCGTCTCTCAAAACTGGAAGCCAAAGTTGTTGAGGTTGTTGTGTTGGAGGCTCGTTTGCAGCAAAGCGAGCAAGAAGTAGAGACCCTTAGCCAAGAGATCGCCCCGCTGAGGGTTCAATTTGAAGAGGCTAGGGCCAAATGGGCTGAAGTCCATAGTGTCGTTCTTGCTGCATCTTATCGTGAGGCTTCCTCCCCTGAAAGATTGACTAATTTGGAGGCAACCTTGAACTCCAAAACTGAAAAGCTTACAGCTACCGGGGTGAAACATGTTGGTCCATGTCCAATCCGCACTCAATAGTAAGTGGAAACGGTCGTTGGAAGAATAGTACCCAACAAAAGTCGGGGTCGATTTTCACAGAGAGTTACTATGGGTGTTAGGAGTATACACTTGACGAAAGCGAACGGAATAACTAAATTGCTCTTCCACACAAAAGGTTTTGATTTCTAATTTTAATTTTACTATAGAAATTATAAGATAAGAAAAGAACAAGAAGCGAATGATTATTTTTGGTGTTTTTCCAAATAGTTAAGAAGCCTAGGGATGTGAACGTAACCTAGGTGTTCGCCTAATGGGTTAAATACGCTAACACTTATTTTGTTGATTGGGGTGTATTATAGCTCTCAACTCTACGTTACCCACTCAATACCTCTCAGTCATAGGGTGATTTTTCCCAATTTGATTTTCTCAAGCCCAAATAGGTATCAAACTAAATAGTTGATATGAGCTCGAGTCAGGTTCTCACTATCTCTAGTTTTAACCCTTTCATTAGGCTAATCAAACCCTTAATTAGCCTAATTCCTTGTTAGCCAAGTTATCCTTTTCTCAAGTAGAGACCAAGTCAAAAAGGCACGGATCAATGTTTGCAACCATTAATTCTAAAATTAAAGCATAAACTAAGCTAAATAATCAACACTCAATCATAAACAAGCATTAAAATCTAGCTACTCATAATGAGAAATAAAGAAAACAAAGAAGAAATGATAATTAAACTCATAATCTAAGATTAAAATGATAAAATATAATGTTTGAATCCTAAAATAGTCACAAACTTCCTAAAATAACAAAATATAACTGCTACAACAGCTCAAACTTCGAAACTTGACCTAAAAATGTGAATCTCGTCTATTTATAGTGCCTCAAAATTCACTGACAAAATTGACCTTCGGGAGGTTCTGTGGCCGCACAATTCCATGTGTGGTCCGCATATTTCTTCAGCTGGCAGTGTCTTGGATTCTACGGCCGCACAATTCTGGTATGTGGCTGCAAAGCATCTTCTGCGGCCACACAATTCTAGTATGGTCCGCACTTCATGCAAGGCGCGGGATTTGGTCAATTGCACACTCTCTGAACTTTGAATCATTTGTCAGTGCAAACCTTATTCTGCAACCGCACAATTCATGTGCGGTCTGCACATCAGCTAAACTCTGTTGGGCTCTTTCACTTGTTTTGCGGCCATAGATGGAATTCTGCGGTCCGCACTTTGTTCCGCGGTCGCTGAAATCCTTCTGAGGACCGCACTTCTTATTGTGCCCCTTCTTGCCTTGTGAGTCGGACCAATTCTTTTTGGGTTAGATTTCATCATGGAAGCTCAAATTTCCAACATTCTTACAATTTGTGCACTTTCATTAGTTTTGGGAACATAAATCCATACTTTCAGACAAAAACAAAAGCAAAAAGGTGCTAATAAGTAGTCACACTTATCAACTCCCCCAAACTTAAGTCTTTGCTCGTCCTCAAGCAAATAAATTAATTCCAACCTCCTTAGAGTTGAGGGTCATTTCAGCGAGTCAAAGGTGAGCCATTCACACATTAGTTGGGACCAACAATTACCCACACTACTCAT